TAAAGAGTGAAACTGGCATTTTGTACCATTTTATATAATTTTTAAGCCTATTTTGTCAAATTATAAGTAACTATTTAAGTAACTATTTGGGCTGTTTTTCGTAACTATTATAGTGACTATTGGGGGTTTTATATTCACCTATAATGCAATGCTCTGTTGATTAGTTATCAGTGAAAACACTGTATTATAATGACTATACTGTACTGCACTTTATATCAGTTTTTTCAAAACTATTAGAAATCATTGTCTGTTTAGTTGTCAACAAATTAACGTTTAATTAATATTTTATTTACTGTTATTTTAAATTTGATTACTATTTATACCGCAACACAAGTCTGTGATATACAACGCTATGCCTGTGTCTGTCCAGCGCTTGACCACTAGGCGTAGGTCAAGATCGGCCGATCCCGGGGCGCGACGAACACGCGGTGCCGCAGCGGTGAGCGCGCGATCGCTGTCACGCCGTAGACCCGACAACACGCGGGCCGCTAATGCGATGGACGTGTATGAGGCGCAGCAGTGGTGCCAAACATTGGCCACAGTATACCCATCGCCGGTGCCCAGTGGGCAACTGCCGCGCCTATGGCTGGCCGTACGGAAAAGACCGCTAAACGGGGCCGAAAGTGCGCGCAAGTGTTGCGATGTGGTGTCGGTGTTAAACGGCCGGTCCGTTTTGGTCGACAACTGGCACCTCACGGGATACCCCACACATCACTTTAGGTTTGATCACGCCTTCGACGAGAGGGCCGACACCGGACGTGTCTACGCCCACACCGTTCGCCCGTTAATTGAAACCCTGTTTGCCGGCGAAATGGCCACGTGTTTGGCGTACGGCGTGACCGGCGCCGGGAAGACGCACACAATGGGCGGTCACTTTCGGGCCAACGGCGATCAGATGGCCGGCGATGGTGTTTACGCGTTGGCCGCCGCGGATGTGCTCTCACGACTCCGGGCGCCCGAATACAGGACGAAAAATATGAACGTTTTGGTGTCTTTCCGAAATATATGAGGGACAGGTATGTATGGGTTGATTGTGTCGGTTGGGGTTTAGTGTTAACTAAAATAACATAATATGTATTGTTTATCAGGCGATGGATTTATTAAACTACAATACAAAGCTCCGGGTGGTGGCGGACAGTGGCCGACCTGTCCAAGTGATTGGCCTACGGGAGTGTTGCGTCTATAGCGTTGAAAAAGTGCTTTATTACGTAAAAATGGGCACAAAATTACGCAACTGTTGCTCAACGTCGGCGAACCGGCAGTCGTCCCGATCGCACGCCATCTTTCAAATAAAGTTGAGCGAAGATGGGATCGCACTGACCGGTCGGCTATCGCTTGTGGACTTGGCTGGGGTTGAGAGGGGCGGCGCCTACGACACCGGCTATCAGTACAATCGGCAAACCATCGCAGAGACGGCCGATATTAACAAATCACTTAAAGACCTCAATGAGTGTATCCGTGAGTTGGGCCGACCGGACGTTCAACGCCTGGCATCCCGGGGCCACACTTTGACCCGTGTGTTGCGCGACTCGTTCACCGGCAATAACAGCCGCATTTGTATGGTATGTATGTCTGTCTGTGTGTGTGTGCTGTCCCGACCCGAGCTGTCTCCCTAACCCCTAATGAAAGCCTATTATTATAATTACTGTTTGTTTTTCTGTCATAGATTGCAATGATTTCGCCGACAATGCAATCGTGTGAACACACGTTGAATACTCTTCGATATGTGGATGGCTTGATAGGGCTCCGGGCGGACAGTAGTAGTCCCGTTCCCGTCAACGGTACCGATGAGAACATTGGTTAGATCTATGATATATTTTTATATTTACTGTAATTCATTATGATTTGCCATATTTTAATAGTTGTTATATTTCTTATATAGTTTTACTTATTTTATAAAATCACATTGTAGTCAAATATTTTCACACATTTATAATTTTTTTATTTCTATTATTTATTTTATTTATACTCATGAATGTTATAAAGATTACTATTTCAATGATTGATTACAAAATAAAAAATATTTTACAATTTAATAAATAATGTTTTAATTAATTAATAGTGATGCCAATCAACAGAATATTCTTAATCTTAATCTTAATTATGATTATAACTTTTATTCGTATATTATATGCTTATAATATGGGATATGTTTTGCCGCTAATAATATGATTCTCTCTCTCTCTCTCTCTCTCTCTCTCTCTCTCGCATTACAATACAATACTAATGAATATTAATTATGAATACTATTAATTGATATATAATATATGCATATCAAATGCACGCTACCATTTTGTTATCTCTATTGATATTACGTATAATTTAGTGTTTTGTCTCTAATAAAGAAAGTAATTGTTTTATATGTGTCTATTCGGAGAACCCATTATTACCCGATAGCCGCAGAGCACCCGTACCTACACAACACCTTTGGACACCGGTTTACTCCCGAGTATTCAAAAGGCAACATATAAAGAAAGTAATTGTTTTATATGTGTCTATTCGGAGAACCCATTATTACCCGATAGCCGCAGAGCACCCGTACCTACACAACACCTTTGGACACCGGTTTACTCCCGAGTATTCAAAAGGCAACATTTTGGCGCAGTCGGACAAGGATTGGGCGCTAAATCACGACAATTGCTACTTTCAAGGACGCCACTGGATTCTTCTCGTATTTCTATAACCCGTCGGTACCTACACGTCGCGGACGACCCCCAACGTTAATACCCGACTGGTTATTTCCCGATATACCCGTTTCGGTAAATTCAAGAAGCAATTTACCCGTATATCGCGCATTACGCAACAACATGGCGGCCAACACCCCGAAGCTTGACCGCTACTCTGGCGATGGCAAGATGAGCCCCGAAGACTGGTTCAACGTCTTTGACATCGTCCTGTTATCCGCAAACATTGTCGACGACAAAGATAAGGTGACAAAACTTATCTCATATCTCAGTGGCGACGCATTCGTATACTACGGTAAACTGGTCGCCGGCCGGCTGGCCACAATCACGTGGGCCGAAGTCAGAGCGGCCTATATCAAGAAATTTGCGTCACCCGCACCGGCGCCCCTATTGCAAGCCTCGAAAATGCAAAAATGCAATCAAACCATTGAAGAGTATTTCAAAGCGATGACCAAACTATTGGACAAAACGTCGGCCACCGATGAAGAGCGCATCGATATGCTGACCAATGGTTTGCCGGACAGCTATCAGGACCGCCTGATAGGCAAAGATATCGATACACCGGACAAATGGCTTACAATTTGTACTAAATTCGAGTACAAGTTCAACGCAAAGGCCGGCCCGAAGCCGAGCACCTCTGGCCACACATCCGGATCGCAATCAAAGCATCAACACAGTGCTCACTGCACAGTTGATCACTGCCCGGATGTAAAGCGCAATAAACAAACTGAACGCAAACAGTTTGACACATCGAAGGCCTGCCCTTACGATTGCCGACACTGCAAAGCAAAGGGCATCTCTATTAAGCACTGGCACCGCGAGTGCCCTAACCGGCCGTCAACCCCACCGTCGGAACGACGGGCCGATCAACAAAATAGCACTCATCTCTCACTGATGAGTGACAACAATGTCCTAAACCCAGAGGACACGCTGATTACCATTCCCGCGGCGATCAACGGCGACAAAACAGTCGTTATCTGTGACAGCGCCTCGACGTCAAATCTGGTCTCGGATTCGTTCGTGAGGACCGACGGTCTGCAGACACACAGCATACCATCGACAGACATACGTCAAGTGTGCGGCGTCGCCCGTACGGACCGTGCGGCCACCTTCGAGCTGACCATTAATGGCATCACAAAGACTGTCAACGCAAAGATCATCAAAGGGTTCCCGTATTGCTGTCTAATTGGCATCCAAACCTGCGGTGCATTCAAAATTCACATTGATATGGAGAACCGCACGGCCACTGTCGGCCGCCCCGCTCTTCCGCGGAAGGAGGAACAGACGCAAACGACTTCTCTCCCGATATCTATCATAAAACCGCCCGAAAAGCCGGTACCAAAACCGCGCACTTCAATGATTGCATTGCAATCCGCTAGTGTTGCCACATTCCCGGAATCAACTCTATCTCCGGATTCGTTACCGATACAGACAACTGAGCAGATAATTCAAACGTATGACCACGTATTCGCATCGGACGACACCGATTTGGGCCGAATAACCATCGAAAAGCACCGGATAATCCTTTCTGATCCGACTCCAGTCGCGGAACATTACCGTAAGATGTCAACCCTAAAAGAGAATGAATGCGAACGACAAGTGAAAGAGCTGTTGGATAAAGGATTAATACGCGCATCGAAGTCTCCGTACGCCGCACCGGTACATATGGTCCAGAAAGCTAACGGCAAATGGCGTGTATGCTGTGATTACCGCCCTCTTAACGTCAAAACAGTTCCTGACAAAGAGCCGTTCCCACACATACCGTCAATCATTGACCGCTTACACGACGCTAAGTACTTCTCCAAACTTGACGTGGCCTGGGGCTTCTGGCACGTGGAGGTCGAACCGGAAGACATCCCGAAAACCGCATTCGTGACACCAACCGGTCACTACGAATGGCTGGTCCTTCCGTTCGGACTCAAGAATAGCCCGAGTTGTTTCCAACGCGTGGTCCGCTCTGTCATTGGCGACCTGTACAACAAGGGAGCGATCAATTATTTAGATGACATAATCATCTATGCGTCCACTCACGACGAACACAACCGTCTCCTACGGGAAGTTCTCTCCCGTTTGGCACATCACAACGTGAAACTCCGCCGCGATAAATGCGAGTTTGACGTAACGACTATTGAATTTCTGGGACACGTTATCTCTAACGGACAGGTATCCGCCCCGAAATCCAAATGCCGGGCTATCGTTGAATACCCGACACCGCGTAACACACTTGAAGTCCAGCGCTTCCATGGATTGGCAAACTATCTGAGGGAATATATACCCGACTTCTCCACACTCGCTGAACCCATCACACGTCTGACCCGAAAAGGCAAGCCATTCGTGTGGAGTGAGACTCAGGAGAAAGCTTTTCAAGCACTCAAGCAGTGCATTGCCGAACTGCCGAACCGCCGGATCTACAACCCATCGCTACCGTGTGAACTCCACTGCGACGCGTCCACCATTGGCATTGGAGGCATTCTTATGCAAGAAGGCTACCCTATTGGCTACTACTCTCGCCGATTGAGTGACGCCGAGACCCGATACACAGCCACAGAACTTGAATGTCTGGCCGTCGTCTCATCTATTAAATACTTTGAGATATATCTCGAGGGAACACACTTCACTGTCGTGAGTGATCATTCAGCCCTTAAATGGTTGCTCACACTGTCCGACAAGAACCGCAGACTATTCCGATGGTCTAAAGACTTGTCGATCTACACGTTTGATGTCATACACAGACCGGGCAAACAGATGGCACACGTTGACGCTCTTTCTCGCGCACCTGTTGTGATGACAGCACTGCTGACCAATGGATCATCTAGTAAACCATTGGTTTCCCAACGAATAATCGATTCTTCAAACAATCGAATCGTTATTCACGGCCGCAATCGATTTGTCGTCGAACGCGACGATGTTCTCCCTCTCCTTACAGAGATTCACGACCAAGCTGGTCACCCTGGCATTGACAAAGCGAAACGCCGCCTCAAATCGCAATTCTGGTGGAAATCGATGGACAACGATATCCGACACCACGTGATGTCTTGCCACGAGTGTCAACTGGTCAAACCATCAAACCAACCGTTTCATGGCCAACTACAGCCGATTCCGACACCGGCCCTGCCGATGGACATGTTAGGACTAGATACCATAGTTATGGGTAACATTGCTCGTAACACCGCCCATAAGTACATACAAGTACTTGTCGACCATCACTCGCGGTATATTTGGACAAAAGCCACAAAAACCAACTCATCGCAAGCGATTTGTCAGTTTCTGGACGATGTTTTCCGCTCTACACCGCCTCCAAAGGTACTTCTCTCCGACAATGCATTGAATTTCAAGTCAAAGCAGTTGAAAACACTACTGGCCCGATATGGATGCGAACAGCGCTACACTACACCATATCATCCCCAGTGCGCAGGCGCCGTAGAACGTGTAAACGGGACCATTATTACTAAACTTCGCATCGAAATGCAGGTCAATCAACGCCTCAAATGGTCAACACTTCTCCAAAAGGTCACACGTGACTATAACCAGACCATCCATGACTCCACCGGGTATACGCCGATCTATCTATTTACAGGTACCGATAACATCGGGACCACCGGCGACCTCGCGGACGCCCGTCAAACAGCGCAACAGAAGAGTGAGCGACTAAAATCAATGGCAAAACAACGTTTTGATGCAATTCACAAGCCGATAGACATCAAAATTGGCGATCTGGTGAAGCGCCGCCTACCGGACAATCACCCGTCAATCAACAAATTGACGCCGAAGTATGTCGGACCGTATTTGGTCACCTCACATCACCCGCCGGTTAACTACACCATTCAAAACAAGGCCAACCCTAACGACACACTCCGTGTGCACGTTAGCCAAATCGAGCCCTACTTTACTCGGGACCAAAGCTTTGAGGCCGGGGAGTGATGCCAATCAACAGAATATTCTTAATCTTAATCTTAATTATGATTATAACTTTTATTCGTATATTATATGCTTATAATATGGGATATGTTTTGCCGCTAATAATATGATTCTCTCTCTCTCTC